TCTCTCTCTCTCTCTCTCTCTCTCTCTCTCTCTCTCTCTCTACGAGAGAGAGAGAGAGAGAGAGAGAGAATAAGTGTTTACAGCTTATTACTGTACAAAGGAGGAGTTTATGTTAAGAATTTCAGGGTGGAGACAGAGAGCTTTCCTAATGATCTGAGATGTGGTAATTCTGGCTCTAATGGAACACATTCAGCATGGTGTGCTGATTTGCTTTCTTGAAAGGATGATGGGAAAACTTGTGGATTGTATGTAGGATTTTAAATGTGCTGTGTACAATTACCCAGGGTTTAGTTTGCTGGGTTCCTCAGCTCAGCCTCAGGTTTATACTGCCATCTACTGGTGAGAGGGGATCATAGCTCCTAGCATGTTTTCTCATCCTGCTCCCACAGAGAATACTTATTGCAGAAACAGTCTGCAAATCCTTGGGTTGGAATTTGCTATTAGAGAGATGGTGCAAACACCATTCTAGTGATTTTTTTCCCCCCAACCAATCAGCAATTCTGGGAAAATGCACTAGAGTTTCTTCCATGGAAACGAATGGACAGCACTATAGTAAACCATCACAGCTATAGTATCAATGACACTTTAAAGTCCATATAGAATTTTTCCATCATAATAATGAATAACCACAGCAGCTCTGACACACCCATGTGTCTGTCACGCCTTTGGAATTGTGGGTTAATTTTAATGGTATTAAAATATTGGTTCTCTCCTCTTTACAATTCATCTGTTGTACTGTTGTGTAAACATGCAACAATAAAGATATTAAATGTTTTACATAAATTAATCTCCTTAGGTTTTGGTGCTTGGGGATGTCCTGTGGAAAAGATCTTACTGCACCTTCTTCTGGGCAAATGGCAAATATTGCTATTCAGCAAATTCCTTCAGGGTTCAATGGCAGTGTTCCCCTGGGAGGAAAACATTGCCTGAAGGGCTCAGTCCTCCCTCCACTGAAGTCAACGAGAGCTTTGCTGTAGACTTTAATGGTAACAGGATCATGCTTGAGTACTCAAAGATGTCTGGTATACTTCAAAGTTTCATATTCATTTGGTAGGCTAAGGCAGATGGGATCTGCTGGTAATCGGAGAAAATCCTGTAATTGCGGATAGTTCTGCACTTGACTGCCTGGGAGGCTGAAATCTGTCTTATGGACAGCACAGGGAGGGGCAATGCATGCTTTTCCATGCTGCCCTACTCATCTGCCTCTGCCCTGTTCCTGAGCAACCAGCTCAGGGTAGTCTGGTATCCATACCTATTCATTCCTGAAACTGGCAGCAAGGATGGGCACATCAGTGGCAGTTCTGAAGCTGGCTTTATGATGGGGACGCCTGTCTACTGGGGGATGGGACTGGGACGGCAAGATTCATTTCACATCATTACAAGCCAGCGTAGAGCCATCAGATGACCGTGACTGTGGGTCACTGCTACACTGGCCCAGACTTGCTCCAGTGACCTAGAGAAAAAAAGGTGCTGCACCTATTAGCACTCCCCTTAACAATCCAGTGCCCCAGTGGCTTCTCTTTGTGTTTTCTCATTGCAGATGGGCAAATACTACAAAACATGATCTTTCTGTGAATGTAGTCTTGATTTTGAGAGGGGAAACTATAAATAAATAAAAATTAAAGTTGCAAAATTGGATCAGCTTTTCAGATCTAATGAAAGACCCTTGATTCTCGATGGCTTTGAGTTTTGCCACACACGCGCACACACACACACACACACACACACACACACACACACACACACACACACACCTCT